CAGCCGCCACTCCCACCCGTTTGCCGGGGCCCGGGGCCGGAGGACCGGGGACGGCGCGCGAGAGCTTCTCGTGGGCAGACGGGCCGCGTGCGGGGAAGAAAGATGCCTCTGGATCGTGAGAGCAAGGAGCTGCTGTGGAAAACGCTCATCAACCTGGGGCACGACGACTTCAAGGCCTTCAAATTCCACACGCACCTGCCCAAGTGCCTCGATGGAAACGCCAAACAGGTGGACATCGTCAACCAGCTGGAGAAGAAGCATGGCAAGAACGCCGTGCAGGAGACCATCGAGATTCTGGAGAAGATCCAGAACCACAACCTGGCCCAGAAGCTGCGCGACGACGTGTCGCGACTAAAAGGTTGGGAGAACCGCCCCCGGGGTCGACGTGGCTTTGTGGCGGGGGGGAGCGAGAGGGGGAATTCCAGAAAGCGGGCTACCTGAACGCCGAGGAGCCCGTAAAGAAACTCGGCGCCAATCGCCACGGACGGGTCGAGTTCAGGGTGAGCTCGGGCTCCTTTCTGGAATGGCCCCCCGGGGAGGCTCCGCCCACCCTGGAAGAGGAGCAAGCGCGCCTTCCTGTTTGCTTTGGTCAAGGTGTTTGTCTTGTGCAGAGCGTGACCGCAAGCGCGGCAGGAGCAACGCGGCGGCGGCGAGGCGGAGGAGGCCCACCGAGCTGCGGAGAACCAGTGAGTGGAAAGCGCGCCGCGCGTGCCGGCAAACGTCCTCCTTTGCGTGACGTGGCCTCGCATCCCGTTCCCTCAGGTAGCATCTTCTCCGTCGACAACCATCTCATCGGCCAGTACCAGCGGGCGCTGCAGGAGAACCTGCGCGGGAGCTACGTCAACGCTCCGGAGGGCAGCGCGGAGCTCAGCGAGCAGCGGCCTCTGGAGGACGTCTACATGGAGCTCAACATCGCCTACGGCGCCGACGTGGCCCCCAACAAGCAGCACGAGGTCCTTCAGATGGAGACGTGCGGCGCGGCCACCGAGTCCATCGCGCCGCGCGACATCTTCCGCAGCGCCGGCGGGAGGCCGCGGCCGGTGCGCACGCTGCTCACCGTCGGCTTCGCGGGGATCGGCAAAACCTTCCTGGTGCGCAAGTTTGTGCTGGACTGGGCCAGCGGCAAAAGCAACCGGGACGTGCACCTGCTGTTTCCCTTCACCTTCCGCGAGATGAACTTGGAAAAGGGCAAGCGGTTCTCCCTGGCGAGGCTCATCCGCCACTTCATCTGGGAGAGCAAGCCCATGAGCGTGGAGATGCTGGATCTGATCTTTGTGCACCTGCAAGCGTCCGGCAAGCGCGACTTTGAAAGCAGCGGGATCAAGGTCTTGTTCGTGCTGGACGGGCTGGACGAGTGCCGCCTCAAGCTGGACCTCGGCGGCGGCGCCGGCGGCCAGGCCCCGCCGGCGCCGGACCTGGACGTGACCGAGGCCTACCCCCTGGAAGTGCTCCTGGCGCACCTCATCAAGAGGAACCTGCTCCCCTGCGCCCGGGTTTGGATCACCTCGCGCCCCGTCGGGGTCCACGACATCCCGGCGGACCTCTTCGACAGCAAGACGGAGGTGAAAGGGTTCAGCGACGCCCAGAGGCTGGACTACTTCCGCAAGAGGTTCCCGGGCGGGGAGGGGGAGGAGGTCATCAGGCACATCCAGAAATGTCGCACCATCTTCATCATGTGCCACATGCCCATCTTCTGCTGGATCGCCAGCGTGGTTCTTCAGGGCCACTTGGACGCGGGCGAGCGGGGCGAGCTGCCCGACAGCCTGACGCAGATGTACACCGAGTTCCTGCTCTACCACCTGGACAAGTCCGAGGAGCGGCGGCTGAAGGAGAGCATCAAGGACGTCAAAGCGCTGGCCAAGCTGGCCTTTCGGCAACTGATGAAAAAACACCAGAGCTTCTCCGAGAGCGACCTGCGCGGCAGCGGCTTGGACTACCGGCGGGCCGCGGCGCGCTCGGGCATGTTCGCCGAGATACGGCCGCTCAAGCGCGACCGGGACGGCAAGATGTTCCAGTTCATCCACCTGACCGTCCAGGAGTACCTGGCCGCCCTGTACGCGATGATGAGCCTCTTCCAGGACAAGAAGAACGTCCTGGCCGACTCGGAGGCGTCGCTGGAAGCTCTCCTGTCGCTGTGCAAGCGCAAGCCCGTGGCTCAGGTCCACGAGGCGGCCATCCGCAAAGCCGCCGCCAGCGAGGGCAACCTGGACCTGTTCCTGCGCTTCCTGCTGGGCCTCTCCTTGCCGTGCAACCAGAGGCTCCTGGGCCAACTGCTGAAGGCCCCCCGGGACCCGGACGGGGACGCCCGCTCCCAAACGGTCCTCCTGATCAAGAGACGCATCGAGCGCAACTCTCCGGAGCGGAACATCAACTTGTTCTACTGCCTCAACGAGCTGCGGGACGACTCCCTGCTGGAGCAGATCCAACGCTACCTGGCTTCAGGACGGCTGTCCTCGGAATCTCTGCCGCTGGACATGTGGTCGGCCCTGGTCTTCTTCTTGCTCACCTCCGACGAAGCCATGCGTCGCTTCGACCTCAAGCGCTACTCTGCGTCGCACGTGGGGCTGAAGATGCTGCTGCCGGTGGTCAAGGCTTCTCAAGAATCGGCGTACGTGCCCCGACGTCGGCCTCGGGCGGGCGGCTCGCTCTGACGCCGGCTTCCCGCTTGTCTTCTCCAGGCTGGACCACTGCAATCTGCACGAGGACAGCTGTCGGGTGCTGGCCTCCGTTCTGGGCTCGCCGTCCAACCTGAGGGAGCTGGACCTCAGCGACAACGACTTGCGCGACCGCGGGGCGGAGCTCCTCTCGGTCGGACTGGCCAAGCCTCACTGCATCTTGCAAGTCCTCAGGTAAGGACGCCGGCTCGCTCGCGGCGGGGGGAGCGCGCGGCGTCCCCGTCCCGACTCGGGGCGCTCGCCTCCTTTGACGCGCGCAGGCTGTCGGGCTGCCTGGTGGCCGCGGCGGGATGCGCGGCGCTGGCCGAGGCTCTCAAGCGCAACCCCGGCCACCTGCGAGCGCTGGACCTGAGCTACAATGACCCGGGAGAGGAAGGAAAGAGGCTCTTGACGGAGGTCCGAACGCATCCCGGCTCCGGCCTGAAGACTCTCAAGTAGGATCCCGACAGCGTTGACCTCTCGCTCGCGCCGAGTCACGACACTTTGCCTCTTTCTCTTCAGCCTGGACGGCGGCGGCAAAGAGCGTCTGGTTCCCGGCCTCCTGAAATGTGAGTCGACCTCGGCCGCGGGAGAGCGGAAAGCCGCGCCGATGTAAAGACCGGCCGGGCCGGCGGTCTCGTTCAGATTTGTGCCGACCCGCGTTGGACCCCGACACGGCTCACAAATGTCTCCGGCTCTCGGATGGCGGCGAGACGGCGACGGTGACGCTGGAGGAGCGGCGCTACCCCCCGAGCGAGCAGAGGTTCACTTGCTGGCGGCAGGTTCTTTGCCGGAGCGGGCTGAGCGGACGCTGCTACTGGGAGGCGCGCGTGGAGGGGAAGGTCTACGTGGGCGTGACCTACCAGAGCATCCGGCGGATCGGAGAGGGCGACGACGTGTGTCTGGGAGCCGACGACGCGTCCTGGGCGCTGCTGTGCGACAACGGCACCTACTCGGTGCGCCACCGGGACAGGACGCTGGACCTCCCGGCCAGTACGCGGGCCTCCGGAAGGCTGGGCGTGTTTCTGGACCATCCCCGCGGCACGCTGTCCTTCTACGAGGTCACTCCGGAGGGGCCGACGCTCCTCCACACCTACCGGGCCGCCTTCACGCAGCCGCTTTACCCGGCCTTCGGGTTCGGCTACGACAACGGATTTGACGGCTTGGGGGACTTTGTGTCGCTCGGCGGGGCGGGCGCGCCCATGTCGACCCGCTTCTAAGCCACGAGGGGTGACGGGGCGGGGCCGGCGCGGGGCCGGCGCGGGGCGCCCCCTCGGCTCGCCATCCGACGGGAAACGCGCGAGGTCGGCGTCGGCTTCAAAACGCCGATTCTAACGTGGCACCTCTTAAAATAAATGCTTTGCTCCACCTTGGCCGAGGACTCGACACGAAGTTCCGCGTCGTTGAGGTGTGCCGCTCTCTTTCCGCTTTTTGTGCTGGTCTTTCCGCTTGCTTTTGGCTCGGTGGGACTCGGTGGGACTCGGCTCAAGATGAGCAAGCGGTGGAAGGCAACCGGGCCGTGCCGCCGCTTGGGCGGACTCCATCGGCCGATCGGCTCCCCGCGC